TATATATATATATATTAACCAAACAAATTGAAAAGAAAAACTAAAACTGACCAAACAAAGTAAAAAAGAAAAGCTTAGATTTAATTCAAATAACGTGAACTAAAGATGCAAATCAAAAGGTGCTTTTCCTAGGGGAAGATATTCAACATAGGTGGGTAGGATATTTTTGATAAAAATTTCAATGGTTTTTTTTTAAATACGAGGGACCTTAATGATCTTAATATTGTTAATAATAATAATTTTTTTTTTCTTGTCGTCGCATTAGAGAAGGCTTTAAAGAAAGTCAGGGGTGAAAAATCAGTATGACCTAATATTATCCCAATTGAAGTGTGGAAATATTATAGAGATTTGAGTGTTTCTTGGCTTACTAAACTCTTTAATATTATTTTAAAAACTAAAAAGAGGTCCGAGAAGTGGAAGAAAAGTATTTTGGTGTCCATTTTTTAAAATAAAAAGAATGCACAAGAATGCAAATTATATAAGAATTAAGTTAATGTGTCATGCATCAAAATTATGGGAGAGAGTAATTGAACATAGGTTAAGAAAGACTTGATACAAATATTTCTCATAATCAATTTTGATTTATGTCTGTCAAGTCTACTATGGAAGCTATATATTTTTTGAAAGGTTTTATAGAGTAGTACGGAGAAAGTAAGGAGGATTTGCATATGATTTTTATTAATTTAGAAAATACTTACGATAAGGTTCTAAGAAAACTTCTTTGGAGAGTTCTAGAAAAGAAGTGTATTGATATCACTTAGATTCAAGTCATTAAAGATATGTATACTGTAGTTGTTACTTGTGTTCAAACCACAGGAGGATTGTTCAAGTATTTTTCTATTTCAGTTAGATTGCATCCAGGATCAGCTTTAAACTCATAACTTTTTCATTTGTTATGGATGTTCTCACCAGACATTTATAGAGGATTTACCTTGGTGTATATTTTTCACTGATGATATTTTTTTTGTGGATAAAACCAGAGAAAGAGTTTAGAAAACTTGAATTATCGAGGTCTGCATCAGAGTTTAAATACCTTCGTTTGAGTAGATCTAAAACTGAATACATGGACTGTAATGTTAGTAATATTAGACCTAGTGGCAGAGTTGTAATTATGGATGATCAAATAGTTCAAACGTGTGAATATTTTAGATATCTGGGGACTATTGTTCAAAGTGATGGTGATATAGATAGGGATGTTATTAGTAGAATTCGAGTTGGTTGGTTAAATTGAAGGAATGCATCGAGTCAGTACGCTCAGACTTAAAAGGAAAATTTTATCAGATGGTGGTGAGACCTGCAATTCTTTATGGCGTTGAATGATGACCTTTAAAAGAGAAGCATAAAAATTAGTTAAATATTGTTGAGATCAGAATGCTTTTGTGGATGAGTGACTTGACATTTAGAGACAAAATGTGAAACAAATGTATTTGTGAAAGGGTTGGTGTAGCTCTAGTGGCAAACAAGATTAGAGAGAGTCATCTTAGGTGGTTTGGTCACATTAAACGGCGACCACTTGATGATCCGGTTAGGAGTGTAGGTGTTTTAGATTCGACTTATATTAAAAAAGCTAGAGGTAGACCTAAAAAAACTCGGACATATTGTATTCAACATGATCTTAATTTATTAGAATTAAATGAAAATATGATACTCAATAGGACAAAATGGAGAAAAAAGTTTCATGTAGCCAACCTAACTTAGTGGGATGAAGTCTTGTTGTTGCTGTTAATCTTTTTTCTCTACAAGTCTTTGCACTTTTCAATATTTTGCTTACTTTGTGTCCCAATTTGGTATATAAAAATAATATCAATTTTGATCTGGCATGTTGACTATTAAAGACAGCAAACCTATGTAAAATGTTGGGATTTGAGGAAAAAAAAAGAGAAAAGGACAGAAAGACAGAGAAAAGGGCAGAAAGACTAAGAGAAAATTTCCTCAAGTTTATGGAAAATCCACATTATTTTAACAGTTGATTTCTGAAAGTCGGTTCTGCTAATTCATGGAACCACAAAGGATGAATTAAGCTAGCCAGTTGCATGAATTTTTATTCAATTAGCCTTGGGATTTTTTATACATAATAAACCTATTTAAAATAAGAAGTGGTGTAACGTAAAAAACTAATTTTTAATTTAGACAAATGCTAATTAAATTGGTCTTCATTCTTGAAAAAAAAAAAAGATGGAAAGTTAAATCATTTGCTTTGATAGAGTTAATTGTTCGACTTAATCCTGCCACCCCCTATAGTAAAAGATGTTTCCTTTGCATCTCTTCGCTTATTTATTTTCTTTTTATGATTTTTTTTCCTGAACATTACATAATTATCAATTGAATATAAGTGATGCAAAGCTTATGACTTTTCTAAGTTGAAGCTTCTCTTGCGTATTCTTGCAATTAATCTCTCTTTTTTTTTTTTACGTCTAAACATTTTTATTCACCTTTTTTTACTAGGTCTTGTAACTTGTTCCCATGATTCCTTATGTTGAATAAGTCCTATGAATTTTGTTCTTTTAATCCCATCGCTTTCTCCATCAAGTCTTGCTACTTGTATTCTTTTGTTCATAAAACTTTCTCACCCATGTCTTACAACTTATTATAGGTTCTAATATATTTCTTGTAGAAATTCTAATATGTTAGTTGCAAATGTTTAAGGAGATTTTCAATAGGCTTTATAACTATAAGTGGGGTTTAAGATGTCTACAAAATTATAATTATTGATTGAATATAATCTCTATTTTGTTGTACGATTTCTTATAATTCCAAGATTCAATTCTTTGACCCAGTGAGATATTTGAAGATTTTTTGAAGTGTCTATCTTCTAATATAAGTATAACGAATGAATTAACACTTTTTTCTTCTTTTGCGTTCTTTATTTTTTTGAAAGTGTGATTATGTTTTTGTCAAAATTAAAAAATTTGCCATCATATATGCTAATTTCAATCATTTGTTTGGTTTTTTTATTCTAAATTTCTAAAAGAAGGCTATTGATTTTTTTTTTGAAATGATTTCCATCTTTTTTTTTAATTTTTATTGATTTACTAAATAATTTTATAAGATAAATATTTTGTTTCCTATTAATCTTACTCGTCTGCTGCATGATTTTTCACATCTCATATATGATCTGAATTAAAAACACTTTGTTCAAAGATGCACCAGGGCTTTAAGTTGCATTACAATAAAATATTCAATTTAAATGAAATTAATTTAGCCATGATTTTAATAAATTTTAACATAATTATCATGAAATTAATAATATTATTCTTATATTCGATGGCAGAAATAATCCTAGAATATTTAAAGATTGTATAGATGACTTATAGGAATTCTGTAAATGTTATAATTTGTCTTCTTCCTAAAGACTTGAATTTGCCAAGCAAAAGTATTGAGTGTTAACTCAAATATTTTAGTCAATTCTTACTGTTAAAATAAATTTACTTAAGTTGATATGAAAAATTAACTTAAAGAACAAATTTAGTCTTCTTTTGATTGTGTAGATTAATTTCGTCATCAATTTATGAATGAAATTATCACTGTCATGCAAGTTCTATTTATTCCATTTAGCTTTGCAAGTTTCAAGTTTTGTCACGTCTACTCATTTCATTTTTTTATTTTCTGGACACATCTCAGACTGTCTATTCCTAAACCATCATTGAAGGCATTTTATTTTAGCTACAAAGGACATGATAAACGATTTGCAATGGGACTTTCAATATTTGGCTAGTTCATAATATTCAATTTATCCTTGTATGCATGCATCAAGAATGCTTATAAATAATAACAGCGTTGCTATGTAGCTTGTCAATTATTTCAAAATAATGATTCATGGAAAGTTAAGTTTTTTATGAAACCTATTTGCTTCGACATTATGAAACCAATTTGCTTCGACAATTAGGATATCGGCAACATTCTTACACTATAAAAGTTATGATTCTCTGAAATTTTCTATATCTCTATTTGAAAATAACCCATAAAATTTGTTTCTTTTATTATCATAGAGTGCAATCTTTACTGCCCATTTATTTTTTTATTACCCTGCATTATTTTTTTTTCAGGCATACTTTCAAATGAGGGTTGATATTTAACAACCATGGAATTTTGTCCAGGCAAACAGAGGACTTGGTCTTACTGCAGACATTATTGATCACTGCAGATTAGTCCTTAAATTTCCTGAGGGCACCAACAGTACCTGGGTCGAGCACTTCTCTTTATTTTCCTTTTGGATTAGGATATTTTTTTTAATTTTTCCCCCAATTTTTATGGGGTGATTTCTGAGAGCTCTATACTAATTTTGGTCTTATTCTTTGCATCTTTTTACAGTATAACGCACAGTTTAAAATTTTTGAGCCGTTGGAATACCGTTATGATGTCTGTGAAGCTATTCTACTGTGGGAACAGGTTAGATTTTATTTCTAAATATATGATTGATGCACTTAATAACATGTACTGAACTGTAGAAAATGGCAGTACCGTAATATGACTACCGTTTTGACGAGGGAATACCTGGATGTCCGACCAGATGGTTGGTTAGAGTATGCTGCAAAAAGGATTGCACAATTGTAATATACGAAACATGAATTTTTCCATTAGCTTCATGTGCCATAGCTTAAATACCACCATTTTTTTTTCAGGGGTGCAGAGAAATGCTACAATCGCTCTCTTTGTGAGGAGCACCTTAATTTGATTTTGCCTTTGAAGCCCCCTTTTCATCCACGACAATTCAGAACGTGTGCTGTTGTTGGGAATTCAGGGGATCTCTTGAAGACAGAATTTGGGCAAGAAATTGATGAACATGATGCAGTTTTTAGAGACAACGAAGCTCCGGTTAATGAGGTAATTCAATATTTATTTCTTTTTTTACAAAAAAGAAAGCTAAAGCATGCTTTGGCCGAAATGGACTGAAATTATACTCACTTTTACAAGGAGTGCTTCTTTAATACACACGTTTGGCAAAGAAAAGGAAATTCTAGCAATAATGCTGTTATGCAAAAGTTGATTTAGTGGCTGAAGGCATTCCCTCCAGTTCCCAAACTACTCTTTTGATGCTTGTAAGCTAATTGTTTTGGTCATTTGGGTTTATTTGCCAGTTTACCCCATATTTACTAGCTATATGGCCAGGTTCTATTCAGTCTAAGTTAACAAATATCTTTAATCTGGATATTCTATTCAGAAGGGATGATACGGACTGAGAGTGGATGAGAAAGTTAATGAATGAATTACACTTATATGAGTAGTTGGTAATTTTGCAATCCACTTATAAAAAATATGTTTTTTGTATGATTTTGGAAGTCCTACAGATTTTTTTTTTTTTTTTTTTTTTTTTTTTTTTTTTTTTTTTTTTTTTTTTGTCATATATGGTGGTACATTGAAGTAAATCAGGACATATAGGCATGGTTTTTGAGTTAGCTTAACGATCCTTCTGAGTGGATAAGGAATAAAATAAGAAATGTATGAATGAATTACTTTTGATTAATCAGGTAGCTGATAATCTTACAATTCCCCTATGAATAATATCTATCAAGTATACCCCAAGTGCATTAATATCTATAATGTATGTTGTCCAATAAGCATGTTTTCCGCTACTAATCTTCCTCATCATGCCTCTTTGCAGAAATACGCCAAACATGTTGGCCTGAAAAGGGACTTTCGTCTTGTAGTGAGAGGAGCTGCTCGAAACATGGCTGCCATTTTGAATGGATCATGTACGTTTAAAGATTAATATGCTAATCAAAGCTTTTTTTTCCGAAAGAAAAAAAAAGTTTACTGTGTTGTCGCAACTTATTTAACATGATTACATTCTTCAAGCTGAGGTGGATTGTAGGTTTTTTGTTGAAAGTATTAGATATTAATTCTTGAAGAAATGCTGATCTTCAGTAAATTTTATTTTTTGATGGTGATTGTTTGTAGAGGGCCCTACGATAGTGTTAGCAATGAGATGGAAACTAAATTGGTATTTACTATTGATTGAAGGACATTTGTGAAATGTTAACTAGAATTAATTTGTGTAATGTCCAACTACTGTAGTTTAAGTTTGAGGTGAGTTCTGTTGATATCTTCATTTTTGTGTTTGCTAAATTCACCTTCCATTTTAAATTTGCATCTCAGCTCTCTTGGGATATTTTTAGATTGAAATCATTTAAGCAGAGGATTCAATGGTGATTTGTTTTTTTAGCAAATAAGACGAATGGTATTTTTACGAAGGATTGAGTCAGAATATGTTGTTTGGGCTCAATTTTTGTTGGAGTTGAATTTAAGCAATGCTGCAACACTCTTATTGTGATTTTGTTTAAATCATGCGGAGGATTGTCTGATTTGTTTTCTAGCAAATAAAATAAATGGAATTGTTACCAGTTTCGAGTCGGAATATTCTTGTTATTAGGGCCCAATTTTAATAGAAGTTGAATATCAGAAAGCTTCAATGCTCTTATTGTGTTTAGTTATAAATCTTATGAACTGGTTTGTTCATTCAGAAAATTCTAAAACAGTAACAGACTCTGCCGGGCTCTTCTGTGGCCACTTTATTGGCTCTGTTAAAATTTAGCAAAGTCCTGTTAGATGAAATGCCGTTCACCTTATTAATCAAATTTTTTATCTGCTCTCTGATAATTATAATATGTTAACCATTCATTCATCATCTTCAACATTCAACTTAGGAAATGATAAGTCTTTTTTCTATCAGACGACCTTTCACATAGAAATAATTCAAACTATCATCTTTTAGAATTAGTAGTCCTGTCATTCTCAACCTTGAAGCGACCAAATTTTCATATAATAAATATTTATATATTTCTTGCAGCTGATGAGGTGCTAATAATTAAAAGTGTGACGCATAGAGATTTCAACGCTATGATAGAGGTGACATTCTAAGCAGAGTTTTCTTTATCATTTATATTCGTGCTGTTGATAATACTCTTCTAATATACATCTTGCTCGATACATTCTCTCACCGCTGCTGAAACTTTATAAATATTTAATGGTCACAGAAGATGCAAGGGGGTATGATTTAGTTATGGATATGTCTGTTCTATAGTTGGTAAATTAACTCTTGTTTTATAATGCAGAGTCTTCCTAATCCAGTTTATCTTTTCCAAGGAATAGTGCTTCGAAGGGGTGCCAAAGGAACTGGAATGAAGTCTATAGAATTAGCACTATCCTTGTGTGATATAGTGGACATATATGGCTTCACTGTGGACCCCGGTTATACAGAGTGGTTAGTTAATAATTGGGGCATTTACATACATACCACTTAATTCCTATGTATTTATATATTTTAACAACTAAATTTTGCATTTTTGCATTTATACCACCAAAAATTTTCATATCACATCAAAAATACCTCCATTTTAACTTCTAGAAAGTGCAGACACCTTTTCATGCATGGGTAAGGTGGTATATATATATATGTTAAAATTGAAGTTAGGTGTTAGATATGTAAATACATAGGAATTGAGTAGCATGTATGTAAATATTCCTTGATAATTTTTAAAATCTGTATCCTATGATTCTTCGATTTTTTAATCCTTTTACATGTGACATCTCGTTGATTGCTAAATAGTATGGGTGATAACAAGTGGGAAAGCATAGTGATGGAAGAATTTGGTTGGGCAAAAGAGCTGAAGATGGGAATGGGATTGAAGAGATTAGTTGATTGAATAGCTCAAAAGCAAGGAGGCAAAAGATGGGGAGTAAGCTAGCATAAGAGAACCTTGGATGGAAGAATAAATACCCTTTTAGAAGTACGAAAAAAAAAATCTTTCTTTATTTCATCTTCAATTTACCCAATTATAATACTCTGGGGGCCATTTAAGGAAACAGGATTCTTTAAAATTGACAAAATTTCCTGAATTTCAAGCGACATTCATAATTAATCTAAAGCCAACTATAAGTACGTTAAATAAGCTTAAAAATATAGAGTATGAATAAGAATTGGGAGACTATAAAATAAAAAAATATATATTTTTTCATCAATTCTCAACCATATGGAAGTTTTTCATGCATACTGCTAGACTCACCTGATTCAGCTGAAGGACTGATTACTTAATATGATATTTTGTCTCAAGCTAGAGGTTCGGGTTAGAAAGTTTGCTTGAATACCAAAGTGATAAAGAGAAAGTCAATAGAATAATATGAGGGAAGAATCATTGAGCTAAAGAAAACAAGGGTATTGAGGAGATTAGATGGCTTTATTTTTTAAGTGGAAGGGTGAGAGGAGATAGAAAGGAAGCATGAGATAATCTCTAGATGAGAGAATCAATCCTTAGAGAGCATGCCAAAAGAAGATTATATTTACTTCAACTGACATAACTACAAAATTTTGTGTTATATTTATAGTAATAGGACTTTTACTAAAAATAAAAAAGCCAATCTTAAACAAATGTAAAAGTGACAATATGTCTAAATATCAAATGAAATTTAAACATAGACTCATGACTAAGGGCTGAGGTAGAATTGCCGTGCATCAATTAACCCTTCAATTTACCAGGCTATTATACATTTTTGCATGTGAACAAATTGGAGATTCATTTTCTTTGTTCTTCCATGTCGGCGGTAAAACCAGAAAAATTTGCTAAATGTTAATTATTAGAAGTTTAGGTCAAACGACTCGCATAACTTGAAGTGCTTTGTAGGAATTAATTTTATGAATGCTAAAAAATGATATGATATGAAAAAGCCAATCTCAAACAAATGTAAAAGTGACAATATGTCTAAATATCAAATGAAATTTAAGCATAGACTCAGGGCTGAGGTAGAATTGCCATGCATCAGTTCACCCTTCTTTTAACTATGCTATTATACATTTTTGCATATGATCACATTGGAGATTCGTTTCCTTTATTCTTCCATATCGGTGTAAAACCAGAAAAATTTGCTGAATGTTAATTATTAAAAGTTTAGATCAAACGATTCACTTAACTAGAAGTGCTTCATAGGAATTAATTGTATGAATGCTAAAAATGATATGATATGATATGATATGATGATAAAATGAGCATTTCATGTTGGCAGGACGCGCTACTTCTCATCTCCAAGAAAAGGGCATAATCCATTGCAGGGAAGGGCCTATTATCAGCTGCTGGAATGCCTTGGTGTAATCATACCTGCTGTTACGGCTCTACCTTCTTCTCTTAAACCCTCTACTATAACTCAAGCCTCCTAATTTCTGCAGGTTATAAGGATCCATTCCCCCATGAGAGCCCATAGGACTCAAAATTGGTCTGATTTGCCAACCAAGGAGAACATAAGGCTCGCTCATGGAGTCGCTCTTCGCTTGAAGAAGCTGCAGGCTGGTCAGCCCCTGGATCTCGGACCTTTCACAAACTGCAAAGTTTGGGGCACTGTAAGCAGAAATAGCGCCGGTTTTGTTTCAGGATCTCCCCGTATGAGCGATACGAGGAAGAACTCAAATTACAGCAAATGGGAGATTCTGCCATTTGAGAGCCTAAGAAGGGAGGCTCAGGAACATTACTTCCAAATGGACGGTGTATCTCTTTACAAGATGGACGGCAACAAATTGGATGATCTCGTCTGCATAAAGCATGAATGATTTTAGATTGAGAGCCGTTTCGCTAATGGTTAGCGAATCAGTGATTCATAAATGGCTGCTGCTGATTTTGTGAATTGGCGCCTTTATTCTCCATCACTAACGCCAGGTGCATCTTCATATTCTTTGCACTTATGATGATTTGTTTGTATTTACTCCACTTGGTCTCTTGAAGATTTGATTTTGTAAGCTTCTATTGCTCGGTTTTTATTTCTGATTTTGTCTGCTTTCACGACATAACAAATGGGGGGGTACCCGTTCCTGTTTATTGTATGATAGGAGTCTTGTGGCTCACAACATAGCGCCAAAACACCCAGCTGGCCTGCCCTGCAAACTGGCTCCTACCTTTTGTCTTGAGCAATGCAATATAAATTTTGATTAATTATCTTTATGTTGCACTTTATTTCAAGTACATGACCAAGAGTAAAATCTATTCTATTTTGGGCATCATTGTTGTTTCCAGCCCAAGGGCACTTAGCCGCTAGCTTGACCGCACATGTGTATATATATCAGCTTTTTGAGATGCCATTTGTCCTTAAAACATAATGTGAGAAGAATTCAATTTCTTAAAATAAAATAATATTGCAGTTTAGTAAACTTAAATGCAAAGTTATTAATCTAATGAACCGAAGCTATTATGGAAGTGGTCTGTTATTAAATTTCAAAATCAAAGTTTCTAAAGTTGACCATTGGAAAATCAAATTGTAAAACTAGCCAGTACTTCTCATGACCCTTTTCCACAGCACATAACTGCTCCATGGAGTTTTTAATACTCCATGAAATCCACCTCAGCCACCTATAATGTTACATGCCTATAAAATATTTGTCCTTTATTTCATTTTGATTATTTATTTCTGCTTTTTCAGTCCATTACTTGGGATTAGAAGCCTATCCTCACCATTGTATTTCCCTATAATGTTGTGCAACTGGTGAAGAACTATTCTAACCCAACCAAATGACTGATAATAATATCAAGTGTTGATGAGTTTTGAGTAGCTTTGAATTTTGATATGTTGTGCCGAGTTCAGTTGACCAGTTGGATGAGCAAATGACAAATTCATTTACTAATAAGGGAGATTTACATAAATACCACCCAAGTTCTGTTTATTTACATATGCATGAAAAGATGCAGAGCACTTTTGAAGTTAAAATGATGGTTATTTGATGTGATATAAAAGATTTAGTTGGTATAAATATATAAAGCAAATTTTAGGTGTTAGATATGTAAACACATATGAATTGGGTGGTATGTATGTAAATGCCTCGACTGATAATAAATATGGTTTTTTTCTTTTTTTTACGATTTAAAAGGTCATTTGGTGGGTAACTCTTTTTAGGCGGTTTGTTGGACCAAAGTTGTAATACGATCATGTGCACAAGAGGCCTCCAGGGCAGAGTAAAATCATCAAATATCTTTTTAACTATTGGATAAAATTATTAATTTATAAAAATTAAATAAGAAAATATAAATTTTATTATTTATATAAATAAATGACTTATCTCTATTTTTATAATATATTGAACAGTAATGGTGGACTAAAACTTTTAGAACCGGCAAGTAATGATTGCAGGAGATGTCTACAAAAAACCACAATTGGGCTGTACATTTAATAGTTGTGGAAAATAAAAATAAAACTCTTACAAAAAGCCCACAATTGTGCACAAGCAGCCTCCTGATTTTACGATAAATAGAATTTATATGGTAGCCCGTGAGCCCGTCCCCCCATTTTTTGATTTAATAAATTCAGATTTTTCGTGGTAGAAAAGAAAGAATGCATGGAAAAAAAAAAAGAGCCTTTTTTTTCCGCTCCTACAAAAAAAATGCCATTTTTCTTTTCTCAGCAGAGCCGACAAAACACAGATACCGAGAGAGTTCCTTACTCCCTCTGTGACGAACTCCTCCAAAACCCTCTCCCGGCGAACTCAGCCCACATCTTCTCCTCCATCTCCGACACCTCCGCCGCCGGCGACTTCCCCGGCCACCTCATCGCCGTCATCAAAACCGGCGCTCCGCCATTCACATTTTTCTGCTCCGAGCCCATCGGGTCAGAAACCGGCCGTTGCTTCTTCTTCCTCGCTACACGGCGGCCGATCTCCGCCGGAACCCTAGCGGCCTTGAGTACGATCAAGCCGAGAAGACAGCACGGACAACAACACGCCACCGCAGCGCATCCCGCCGCCGAACCGCCAGTCGCCGCCGCCGCTAACCGCTTGCTCTTTTTCGGTGACTTTTTAGCCGCCGCGGTTGTCTTCGGCATGGGATTGTTAGGGGTTCCGGCGAGCATATGGCCGGCTCTGCCTTCGCCGGAGCTTTCGTTACTTGGCTGGTGAACTTGAGCGTCATTTTGGGTGAATGTTGTCCATTTAAATGGCGCCGGTTTGTGTCGAGCGGATATGGATGGGTTTGTGGTTAACCCGATAACCCGATTTAAGTTGAGCAGCCTCCAATGACTTGGCTTGTCAGCTTATAATTAAACCACTTTAAGAAATTAATATATGTAATTTTTTTGTTGAACTACTTTGTATTCTGTTCAATGATATTAGAGTTGAACACATAATATAAAATGTTGGAAATTAACCATCGTATCACATATGTCCTTTGTATTTGCATACGTAACACTTCAATTTTTATATTTACATGTTGTACATCAAGAATGTCATAATAGCATAGGCAGAACCAGACTCTATTTTGAAATGAGGTGGTTTGCCCTCTCAAAATATAATAGACTTATGTGATAGTGACTAGGGAAACGAAGGGTAATGTGATATTTCAAGATGGGCAAAAGATCAAATTGTCTGACATTGAACTGTTGTAAATGTACATATCAATTTTATGGTGATGGATGTCTAAATACAAAATTGTGTGGTCGCCAAAGTTGCCTCCTATTCTTGTGATCACCAACCACCATCAACCACCTCTCATCGATCGTCATTGATCGTTATCGGTCGTCGCCCACTCCTTCCTACGAAGCATCGCATGAAGCAACAATTGTCAATGTGAAGCTACGAAATAGTCTACGAAGCAGCCCATCATCCCGAACACTTGGCTAACCCCAAATGCGGTGCAACAATGCACCTCGAAGGTGTATCAACGCACTTCAAAGATAGTGTAGCAGTGCATCTCAAACGTGGGGTAGTGATGCACCTCTCATACACTCGTTCAACTCCCATCCCTCAACTATCACAGTTTGTGGACATCATTACAACTCATCACTACGACCTACATGACCAACGACGACCTAAGTAGTCCACAGCTCATGTTGCTTCTGATTTCGGCTCATTACAACTTACGGATATCATTATAACTCACCACTACGACCTATATGACCAACTATGACCTACACGATCCACAACTCGTTCAACTTTTAACTCCAGCCCTACGACCCACACACTTAATTGCGGCTCACTGCTACAACCTATATGGCTCTACATAGTCCACAACTCCTGCAACTCCTTACGAAGATCTCTATGAACAACCAACGCCCCTAAATTAACCATCTGTGCTCATCTGGTCAGCCGCTGTCATGGTTATCTATCATGACTCGTATGACAAGGTAACACAACAATCATCGTCTACAACACTCACGACGGACTACTACCTCCGTTGCAATTGATTATGACCCTTGCAACCTGCTGCGCCAAGAACTACAATCAAATGACAGATATTCAACTTTATAATTTCATTTTTCCTAATAAAGGAGAAGAGTAGAACTCTGCACTCACCATCATAGTGGATTATTTCAACTAAGCTAAGTATCGTGGTTTTTCTCTTTTTTTTTAGGGTTTTCCCGTATGTCAAGATGTCTCCTCTTGCCTACTCTTTAATTAACAAACTATGTGTTGATTTTTCATGCAAAACTAAGCAATAAATAATCATTACTCTACTCTCGTGAATCTTCTAGCTCGCACTATATATATATATATATAATGAAAATTTTCAATACTCATTATGATTAATCTTTTAATAAAAATATTATTTTTTTTATTTCTAATTACGTTTTGATGTGGAGGTGCAATGTTCTAGTCCGTTCTCACAAGAAAATAACTGCCTAATAAAAAATATAAATAAGAAAAAAAAAATGAAAAATATTCTGATTAAATAAAATTTATATTTATTTCTAAAATAAAATAATGCATGAATAATCAATCATCTATTATATTACATTTGTCTCAAAATAAATCGTAATTTTTTTTTGGAATCATTGATAAAAAAATTTAACCCTCATATTCTCACCTATCATTTTTCTAAAAAAATTATAGTAATTTAAATTTTAAAATTATAAGACATTAAAAATATTGAAAGCTTCAATAATTTCAAAAATAATATTTTGTATTTCATATTTTTATCCATCAAGCATTTAAAATTTAAATCAAGTAAAATATTTAAATAGTTACGTAAAAAACAATTATTTTTAAATTATATATGATACAATATTTAAGCATATATATAATATGCATCCTTAGAAAATCATTATATATGGGTCAAATTGGTGATATTATATAATTATTTTGAGGCTTCAGAAGGCTTATGACTGCAGTTATTATTATTATTATTATTATTATTATTATTATTATTATTATTATTATTATTAAGTTTGAGGGGTCCAAAATTAAAGACATTATTTTTATATTTTTATTTGAACACCGGTCCGACTCTTCTGACCAAATCATTTAAGATTTTAAATATGTTAAATATTTAATAGATTAAATTAAGAAAAATTTAAAGCGATAATTAAACTTTTTCCTTTTTTTATGCTATAAACAGTATTATTAAATTTAAAGCGGCAGGACCGGTATTATTTTATAGGAATACAGAGGCAATTACATAGGGGTGTAAACGAGTTGAACACAAGCGTTTATATTTTGAGCTTAAAAAGTGTTCGTGTTCGGCTCGTTTGCTTAGCGAGCCGAAAACGAGCAGTTCACGAACAAAGAATCATTTTGACAATCCTAATCACGTAGTCATAAGATGTTAAGGATTGGAGCAAAATTTAAAACATCATTTGAATTGAATTTAATAATTTTTATTCTATTTTTCTTAATTAATACTTTTAATTGATTATAAATCTTTGTAGCTTTGTAGTCAATTAAATTTTTTAAAAATATTATATATATATATATATATATATATATATAAAGTTGATTAGTAGTATTTTGAGTCAAAACGAGCCAAAAATGAAATAAACAAATATTTGCTTGTGTTGTTCGTGTTTGGCTCTTTAACTTAGCGAACGAGCCGAACACGAGTTGTTCTAGAATGAGTAAACAGCCCTAATTACATACAAACCCCCCGAAATATGTTATTTATAAATGAACCATCCTTTTTCGTCCATTTCTCAAATTCTCAATCAAATATCAAAATTCATGGTAAGAAATCAGCCCATATTTTTCATTTTTTTTTAAATTATCAATAGTTTGATCTTGGTTCGGCAGTTCAAGAAAATCATCAGGATGCTTAATTTATAAATATTAATATTTTGGGTGTTCTGTATGTGATCATCCCAAAATATACTAAATTTTGGTTTTTGAAAAAGATCATTATAAATATATATAGGGTGAGGGGGTAAAAGTAGCCGAACACGAGCGAGCCCGAGCCTAGGCTCAGCTCCTGTTCGGCTCGTTTATATTTCGAGCTCAAAAAATTTATTCGTGTTCGAACACGAGCCATTCATGAACAAATAGTCGTTTTGACAACCCTAATCACGTAGCCATAAGATGTTAAAGATTGAGGCAAGATTTAAAACATCATTTAAATCTAATTTAATAATTTTTATTCTATTTTTTTCATTAATACTTTTAATCGATTATAAATCTTTGTAGCCTTGTAGTCAATTAATTTTTTTAAAAATACTGCTCATCAAATATATATATATATATTCGAGCTAAAATGAGCCGAACACGAACGAACAAATATTTATTTGTGTTGTTTGTATTCGTCTCGTTAACTTAGCGAACGAGTCGAACACGAGTTGTTCGCGAACAATGAGCCATTCTGACAGCCCTAGATATCACCATTGCCTAATTTCTTGGTTTTACATTCCTACCCCCGCAGGCCTGTTTTTACCATAATGCACAGAAGATTTGCAAATTAATTAGTTCTTCGAATAATTAAAACGGACAAACATCCCCCCCTACAAATATCATATTTTATTAAATTTTGTGAAAACTGTTCATCACATAAATAGAGCAATAAATAAATAAATAAATGAGGAATTGACATTCAAACCACACAATTCTCACGTATTTACATATTAAAACACTCAATTTTAAAATATCACTTATTAAAAATAAAATACACATTTTGATGCATAAGTTTATCAAAGCTAAAGTCTCATACATGAAAATATGAAAGCTTTGGGGTAAGATATGTAAATACATAAGAATTGTCATGTAAATTTCTCAAATAAAGATTATATTAATTCAAAAACAAACTGTAAAATAAAATTACAAAAAAATAAAACAAAATTGCCAAACAAACCTTAATAAGCATGAGAAGCCATCCTTTAAGAAGCTAAAAAGCATTATAATGTCCCCATTTATAAATAAGGTGGGTTTTGACATAAAATTTATTTGCATGAAAAATTTAATTCCTCTGATGCTTCCATGGCTCAGAGGTGGAACAAGGTCACAATTTCGCACCCAGTTGGGCTCTCTCAGCTGTCCTGCATTTTACTTCAATTCATCAATTTAATCTATTACAATCCATCTAAATAATTAACAAAAAAAAACTAATAATAGGGTTGTGAATTTAGCTCGTAGAGTGTTAAACGCAGGAAATTCGATTCGAATTTTGGCTCGAATCGAGATTGGATAGAGATAAATGAGACGAGCTGTGAGTTGAAACATTGGATTGAATTTTTTTCAAACCAATATAGAGCCATATGTGGATCGGCTCGAATTGGTTCGAGATTCGCTCGAAGTTTTTCTTTAATTTTAAAAAAAATTATATATATAATGCTGAATAAAATTTAATATAAGATTGATTTTGAGCTGGAATGGATCCAAATAACTCAATTTCAGCCGGCTAATTGCAATTTCGAGCTGAAACAGACCCGAATAAGTCAATTTCAGCCAGCTCGTTTCAATTTAGAGCGGGATGGAGCAAGATTCAATTTTGAGCTCACTTCGATATGCGAAGTTATCCCAAATAAATGTAGATAGAGAGAGCACAATAATGAGGCCACTTACATACAAAGACTGCATGACAATATTAAAAAAACCAGTTTTGTTGAGCGGCAAAGCCATCCATCCAAGTCTGATGGACATGTACCAGCATGAGTCCTTCAGCTGTGTCTTTCTGCAAAATGAGATTCAATCACTTTTCCTTTATATCATCAAATATATCAAATGGAGGGAACAGAAAGGGAGGAGAAACAATACCTTGGTGTTCAGCACAACAGTCGTTAGACAGCACCGCCGCCCTTCGTCTGCAAGCACGAGACAAGATTAAAGTCACTTCGTCGGCGATTAATTAAAAAGTAAAAAACTCGAACGAAATATAGTTGCGCCGGCTATAATGAAATTAACCAATTCTTTTAATGATCGAGCCTCATGGATGTGTTGGTGCTTCTCAAAATAGCTTTTTGGTTATGGTGAGATTATGATAGCCATTTGATGGTAGATTGTTTAGAGAGTCCAACTTTTGTCCTATGAAAAAAACATGCAATTTTTAAACTCTAGTCGTGGCTCAACGTTGAGAAGAGAGCGAGGAGAACCCAACAGAAAACCAATATTTGCGGGTAATTTCATGAAGGGTGTTTTGAACATTTTATTGCATTTTTAGCTGCCATATTTTTATGTTTATCAAAGGCGATACCTGACATTTTTATGTTTTATTAGAGATATCAGGATTTTAATTCTCTACAATCAAATCATGAAGTCCAGGGGTGGAACCAACTTCAATATGAAGGATGGGCAAGATAGAAAATGTTAAAAATTTTTTAGGCACTGAGCAAAAAAAATTGTACTGAGAGTGGGCAAAATTACTAAATTGCCTGAACTATATAGAAGAGAATTAAATTTTCTATTATTTATATAAAAAAAGAATATATATATAGGTGATCAGTGGCTTGACACTTAGAGACAAAATGTGAAATGAATATATCCGTGACAGGGTTGGCATAGCTCTAGTAGCTGACAAGATTAGAGAGAGTCGGCTTAGATGGTTTGGTCACATTAAACACAGACCATCTGATGATTCTGTAAGGAGAGTAGATGTTTTAGATTCGAATTATGTTGAGAAAGGAAGACGTAGACCTAAAAAGATTTTGACAAACTATATAAAAAATAATCTTAATCTGTTAGAATTAAATGAAAATATGACACTCAATAGGATGGAATGGATAAAAATGATTCATGTAGCCGGCCCCCCTTAGTGGGATAAAGGCTTGTTGTTGTTGTTGTTGTGTTGTATCATTTATAAAAAATTCTCAAATTTCAGGATGGGCAAAGAAGTTATTATTTAGGTGAACATGTATAAAAATATGAGCTTATTGTGTGTTGATCTTTTTTTCCATTTTTTGTTTTTTTTTTCCACGCTCTCAATGATTAAAAGAAATTTTACTTATTTCCCAACATATCCTCTAATTGGAAACCTCAAACTATGAGAGATTTGCTAGAATCTTATCTTCCTAATGTACTCATAATAACTCTATCACCATCTTTGAATTATAGAACCAAATCGTCAATGGATAGTACTAGAGTCTGTATGATATACAAAACCCAAAAACAATTAATACTTTCAATCATGTTATTAATTAAACTAATAAGAAAACTTTTTTAAAGGGTTAAATTTAACTAATTTGATCCTTTAATTTAAGCTATATAAAGGGGAAGCATTCACCCAGTATTTTAAACAACTACTTTAAATGTCGCCGGAAAATTTTACTCTGCCCAACCCCAAGATGAGATTCGAGCAAGAACCAAAACGTCTCTTAAAACATTTCCAATATCCAAGCAACGATGAACTGGCTGTGGCTACTTCTATCTATTGAAATGGCAAAAACAACCATTCAAAAGGCAATTACTCTCAGTCCCTAACCATATAAAGAGCTAGAAAATATAATTTCATCTTCCTGCAATTACTCTCAGTCCCTAACCATTTTAGCTTTACACTTAGAGACAAAATGCGAAATGAATATATCCGTGATAGGGTTGGTGTAGCTCCTGTGACGGATAAAATTAGAGAAAGTCGTCTTAGATGGTTTGGTCACATTAAACGTCGAACATCTGATGATCCGATTAGAAGAGTAGATGTTTTAGATTCGACTTATGTTAAGAAAGGCAGAGGTAGACCTAGAAAGACTTGGGCTTATTGTATTAAAAATTATCTTAATTTACTAGAACTAAATGAAAATATGACAATAAATAGGGCGCAATGGAGAAAAAGGATTCATGTAGCCAACCCCACGTAGTGGGATTAAGGCTTTGTTTTTGTTGTTGTTGTAAGATAAATCAGGATCTAAAAAGTATTATTTCCTCAAGCATCAATATTCAGTTAATTTACTTGAATCATGGATTGAGGGTTTTATTATGAACTCAAAAGAAGCCCAATGAATTATCAATTTCATTTTTTTCATATATAAAAACACAGCAACATTATCTACTTTCCAAATGTAATGATTTTAACTTCAAACAAGTTATTAAAAAAATCAAAGTAAAACTCCATTGAGGGAATAAGCAAAAGCATAACAGACCTGACATCTCCCATTTGTCAAATTTCACCAGCCAAGCATCTGGATGAACCTGAGTAGAAGAAACTCTATCTAACCATACTCGAAACTGCTTGCCCTTTTTGTCGCCATAACTCATAGCAAAGGCATCTATGCATTCATGAAGAGGATGCTCGACTCCGAAAGGATGAATCAGCACCCCATTGTGAGACTACAAATTACATTATATAGTGATGGAATTTGTACTGCTAAATTATATTACAATAATAAACTTTTTTTTCCTTATATTTTTACCACCCAAATCTTCCATATCACAACAAAAGTACCACTAATTTAACTTTTAAAATGTGAAAAACATATTTTCATGTATGGGTAAGGTGACTTATATGTAAAAGTTTAAGGTTAGGTGTATGAAATGTAAACACATAAGAATTGAGTGGTATGCATGTAAACCTTCCTAAGCATTTATGAAATCAATATATCACAAAAAGTTCATTGAAATGCTGACAATTGACAAGCATTATATAATGAGTAAAGTGCCAAAATAGTCCCTTGACTATGTACATGGGTCATTTTAGTCCCAGAGCCTATAAAAGTGTCAATTTAGTTCGCAAACTCTTTAAACTGGGTCTCAAATGGTCCTTCGTGGGAACTATTTCAGCCCAAATTAAAAGAGTTTGAGACTAAATTGATACGTTTATAAACTTTGAGACTAAACACTTTTCTCAGTATGAAATACTCGGCAAAATCAGAAAAATTAACTTCAAGTGCACCATGATAGTTTTTGCTAAAAGATGATCAAAAACAAAAAATGTACAGAGATCATAATAACATACGGTAATCTTCTTCATGGTCTCGATCGTAGCTGCCGACTGTTCAACTTCCTCACGACGCCATCTTTCATACAATAAGTAAAACAGTACTAATTCATGTCCAGGATTGAAGTTGTTAGTCTTGCAGGTTGATAAATCCTCAACATCTCTAGGAGATATATTAGGGCCAAGCCCAAAATGCCCTATAGCCTCTATAATCCCAGAAGCACATCTCTCATTTGCAAGAAATATCTTAGGGTTATTCCTGGCATTTTCAGCATGCCATTTTAATAGTTCCTCTTGAGCATTGCTGACCTAGAGAGAAACATGCCAAAATAATTGAAAAATGAAAACAAGGCTAATCAACAGCGAAGTTCTTCTTACTGAGTACCCAATTCCTATTTATTTAAATATCTAACACCTAAACTTGACCTTTTACATTTATAAGACCCAAATGTTTCATATCACATCGAAAATACCACTATTTTTACTTTTAAAAAGTAAAGTACACCTTTCATGCATATGTCGAGTGGCATATAAGCAAAAGTTGAAGTATTGGATATGTACGCAAATATATAGGAATTGAGTGGTAGGTAAGTAAATATTCACATAAAAAAATTATTAAATAAAAAAAAACAAAATTTCTTCTACGACTAACCATCACACCATGAACATCTGGAATGCTGAATAACTCAGCATCATTGCCAGAATCACCACAAGCAAGGGTATTGAGTGGTAGCTTCTGATCTGCCTTAAGTTTTTTGAGTAAATATGCTAAAGCCTGGCCCTTTCCAGCACCTTGGGGTAATATGTCAAGATCTATTCCACCACTGTAAATTATCTTCACATCTAGCTGATCAAGAACGAAAAAAATAAAGTTTTACTCTTATGTTAGCAATATCCAAGAGACAATTAAGGTATGTTGAAGATCATTTTGATTTTCATTTTTTGCACAAATCGGCTTGTTTTTAGAACCGCTCAAAATAATATTTAGTTGTTTTGAGTATTTTTTTTAAAAAAACTATATTTTAAATATATCCAAAATTTTTATTCCTGAATTAAATATAAACAAAACAAAATAGAAACAACACATTAAAAAAAAAGTGAGATTTTATTATTCTAAACAAGAGAAAATATTCAGTAAAATTCAATCATACCCCTTGAATTGTGAGGATCTCATTAAGAGACTTCATCACTGCCTCGGCCTTGTCCTTCTGCACATAAAAGCTAACCTTGTGTGGCCGCTGCTCCGATGCTGACTGCACCAAGTTCAAAAGTTCCAGTGACTTGAATTATATAGCTCAAATTATTGCCTCCTCTAAATTTATAACAGGAATCTACACTATCTATCATTGTTAAATTTATTCATCCTTTGATTATGAAGACAATTCAGTAAGAAAAAAAAAAGATTTTTATAATTCTTCCTCATCTAAGAAACAAATCAAAGTGGACATTCTCCTACAACTCCTTCAAAACAAAAACAAAGAGCTGAAGGGAATTCACCTGAAATTTAAGTTCTGGAAATTTGGATGATTCCGCAACAACAATATCACGATTCCATTTCCGATCCAGAAATCTCTCCCATCCACTATCAGGAGCCATGAGTTCACCATAAGTTATTTCTGTGCCCACAGACATGATAGTTATATCTGGTGTCAGCAAGGGCTTCTCCTTCCTAAGCTCCTTGTACAGTGTTGGTGACCTTCCAGTAGAGAAAACAAGCAGAGAATCATGGCGGTAATTGGATTCCCATAACGCATTAAACCTGAGAAGTGATAGGTTCTCGGGATCATGATGATCAACCTGAGCAAAATGAAGCAGGCGGTGTAAGTACCTTTCAGATCCGAAATGAAATCAAAATTGAATTTTTGGATTGAAAATCGAAGGGGGCGCGGCGCGTACCATTGTATGGTCAAGATCAGAAACAATCATGAGACGGGCAGGGCCGGCAAGACGATCCATCTTTCTCACTGCGAATCAATCGAAGTTTAGCAGTTGGAAGTTAGAACAGAAACATCAATCAGTTAGGAACAGAGAATATCGACTGAAAAGAACCCTAATAAGTTCTCAGCTAGCTCCAATTGCGACTGTATCGCGAGGGGGACATGCGAGGGTTTCGGGGAGAGAGCAGTGATGTAGGGGTGGGTTTAATTTTATTTGGGGCTGTCTGGTAAAGGATTTTGAGCAGGATTTAACCAGGATTTAAGCTAAATCTTGCCAGCGAACACTGTGATCATATTAAACCGGGATTTGTTAAATCCTGGAAGGCGCAAAGAGGTTTCCGGATCCCTTGCGCGACCTTCCTCAATGGTTTCCCGTCGAAGCAGAGCGGACGGAGGAGAAAGATGGATGTTTTAATGGCCGCGAACACGTCGTAATAATCCCCGCTAGCTCAAGTGGCGAATATGCAGCAAAGGCTTCGGTGACGAGAGGGAAAGGATAATGGTTTCGGATCAATTACCTCAGGGGGTTTCTGCAGAGCCGACGGAGAAGAACGATGGAGAAGAAAAGGTGGAACTTTTAGGGACCAATTGGGGGAAACGAGAGGAAGCTTTCGTTGGCGTTCGTTTTATCTGTTGGCGCACCACTGCACCTCTTTCTCTTGATTCTTCTTCTTCTTTCAATGGTTCCAACAAAAGTTGGGATTTTTCGCTTTGAAATTATTTTTAGGATTGTTTTTTTTTCCCCTCATTTTCATCAAATTCTGATTTTTGTTCATCAAAATAATTTCAACCCCAATATTTAGTTATTTGCATACATATCAATTGGACTGTGAATTTAGCTTGAAAAACATTAATCATCCAAAAATTGATTTAAATTTTACCTCTGAATTAATCAACAATTTTGAGTGTAAAGTAAACGATTTAGCTATAAACCAAAATTTAGATTAATTTTTTTTCGAGTTGATATCAAGTCATACACCCAAAATTGATCAAATTTTTTTTATTTATAAAAAAGTATATATAATACTAAATAAAATTGAATATTCAAAATCAAACATAGCCAAATAACTAAATTTAAGCCATTTTATTTTGATTTCAAATGAACTCAAATAACTCAAATTTAAGCCAACCCATGTTGAGTTTGAATCAGATCAAGCTTGATTCAATTTTGAGTTGACCTGGCTCAAAATTTAACATAACAAGTCACAAGCCAATTTCCATCCAAACTCAATTCATTCGAGTCGATTCTGATTTGACCGCAGCTCGACTCGAAATCGGCTCATTAAGTGCCTTGCTTTTCGATCACATTGCTATTTACAAATAATCACCCATCCCAATTCTTATGCATTTACTTATTCACACATAAACTTTGATTTTTATAAGTTAAGCGCTCTACCTGTATGAAAATAAATAATTCACATTTTTATGCATCTTTTCAAACATAAGAAAAGATGTTAAATTTGCGAGAAATCAAAGTTTAGGCATCAGATAAGTAAATACATAAGAATTAGATACTATTCATGTAAATTTCCCTTTTTTAACAAACTCCGCAAAAACAATTATTTGGAATTTTGATAAAAGGGTTAACTAATATGCATTAAAACACTGCTATTTACAAAATTATAAAGAAGTGATTTATATATATATAAGTGTTGGTTTTATGTTACATATTTTAATATTTGAGTGAGACTTTGAATAATGGATGAAAGAATTTAAAATAGTATTCTTTGGAGTATTATGTATGTAATTGGCAAAATAAAAAAAATTATATATTGAAATTATATTGTAAATTTAGTATTTTGAGTGAGAATTTTAAGATATGATGTTATTGTTTTGTAAATAATAATATTTTTATAGTCGCACGCCTCTTCTTTAAAAGAAAAAATTACATCCAACATCCAGACGCAAGAAGTGCCCGGAGAACAAACATGATATGCCAACAGACAGGTAAATCGTGTCGTTATTCTGACACTACTTGCATCGAACTCGAGATGCAACGTTTTCCTTTTCTTAAGGTGGCATTTAAACACATACCATTCTATTCTTATGCTTTTATATATCTAACATCTAAAAATTTAATTTTTTTTATATTTATACCAGCTCAATCTTTTATATCACAAAAACAAAATACCACCATTTCAATTTTTAGAAAGCTAAATGCCTCTTTTTATGATGTAGAAATTGAAGTCTAGGTGTCAGATATGTAAATACAATAGAATGCCGTGTAGTGTAATATTCACTTGTGCCAATGATTTATTAGTAATCTAAGGGTCTGTTGGGTCAGTTTGTGTGTTTCAGGATAAGTTGCTTATCTTGAAACGCGGTCTGCTGCCCGGCCGCAGGGGTCGATCCGCGGCCTACGTTTAGTGTAAAAATTCAAACGCAGTTTCAGATAAGCTGATGAAACGCGCGAATCAAACAGTATGACGACGTTTTGAAAACACCGCCCGCACTTATAAGCTGCCCCAAACAGACTCTAGTGTAAAAACTCATTGGTACCAGCGACATATTATAATTGAAGTCTATGTTGTTATATTCCGTAAATAAGCATTCCAAGAAATCAATGCATGCTACACAGTTTCCCCAAATCGCAACCTGGAAATAATGTAAACTAGTTTTTGCATGCATTATTGTCAAATGCAAAAAAAAAAAAAAAAAAAATGTAGAAAGAAAAATAAAAGAAAATATTGAGGAGGGTAAGATTATAAAACAAAGAAAAGGAGCATTTACATACATTCCACCCAATTCCTACATATTAACACATCAAACACCTAAACTTTGCCTTTTACACTATACCACCCAAAAATTTTCATATCACATCAAACATACCACCATTTTAACTTTTAAAAGGTAAACTATGCCTTTTTTTTCATACATAGGTTGTAAAATGTAAGGTTTAGGTGTTAGAAGTGTAATTACATAAAAATAGAGTGGTATGCACGTTAAGTAAATGTGGGAAGAACAAGTTTCTAAGCAGTAACAACTACTAATGATAGCAGCCTAAGACAAATGAGAATAAACTGTACAGCCCACAAGTATACTAGCAGCCATCTACATTACTCCATCTCTTTCCAGATCCTCCCTGTAACTCTGAGTCTCAGCTCTTTCTGGTCGCCGCCGGAGAAATAGAGGGCGAGGCTTCTCTGTACAATGAGCCCATCACAACTGTCGCGGATCGCCTTATGGTGAGTTCGGATGCTCCGCGGCACGCCCTGCCACATCATTTTCCGACCGTTACCTCCAACCTCGAGGCAATAACCAAACTTTCTGGCTTCATCTTCGTCCCCCATGAATGTGAGGAAGGCCATGTAGACTGGCTGAGATCCAAGCCGGAACGCTTCAAAATGCAGGCAGAAGTACTGGCCGAAGCAGCTGAAAAGCTGAGAGGCAAACAGAGATGGAAACAATAGTTAGCAACTGTTGGATTCAAAGAAAATAATATGTTAGATTTCGATGGATCTCACCTTTCCGGCTAAGAAAAAAAGACTGTTTGGACATTCTTCATCTCTTTACCTTTTACCTTTAAATTAGGTTTTTCACTTGAAGTTATATCATTTCATCTATGAAAACTCAATGATGTACGCATAACAGACAATACACATTTTTATGCATGGGTAAGGTAGCATATATGTAAAATACATACGATTTGAATGGTATGTTTGTAAATCTTCCTAGCATAAATAAAAAAAAAAAAAAAAAAAACTTTAAATAAACAAAATATTAAGAACAATAAAAAAGAGAGAACAGTATATTTAATAGCATTAACTTTTATAAATATTAATTAGTTTATGATATAAAAAAAGTAACCACTAAGTGTCTTCTAATACATTAAATTTAACATTTAAATAAAAAACTATAAAATAATTTTTTAAAAATTTTAATCTCAAGAATATATATGTTTAAAATTACTTTTAAAGTCTTTTAGTTTATTATCTTAGGACATGCATGTTTTTTTTCATACTACTTGTATCGTACACTTTTATGTTATATCGATGTCATATCTGATACATGTCGGAGCAGTGTCAAAGCCATGTCTGTGTCTGATAGGCAACTCTGCATTGCATATTAATTAGGAGAGTTTGTATCACAGATGAAAACTAAGGTTTCACACTACTTCATCATGACATTAAATCCATTCAAGAACTGGAATACACTCGTAAGTTTTCATCATAATTTTGACATCAATGCAAGCAAGATGTGGCCATAATTAAGATTTAGAACAAGAATAGAATGACTTACAGTTAGCGTCCATGTAACATTGTCAACAGAACATGGGTCTTGTTTGACATAACGATGATTAAAAGTACAGCCATTTTGCACGTCGACTTCATGGCGATCTTGTAAATGCGACAAAATGGCTGAAATAGCTCCGTTGAAGGGGCAGTTGGGGCCTGGATGAGGGCATGTGTAAGGCCTATATGAGCATTGTGCTTCATGCACAACCTTGCTGTAATACGGTAGCATCTGTTCGCATCCAAACTCATGGTAGGCACATGGCAAGCAGATAGAAACTGCAAGCTTCTCCAGAGCTAAGCACCTTATGTTGCCAATATCCTTTCTGCAAATAGGACACTTATTATTGACTCTGCTTTTGCAGGCAGAACACAGGGTATGGCCACTGGGACACTGCAGTTAAACAAAATAATAATAATAATAAAAGCAATTATTTTCAATATCATGAAGAGGACAAGTCATAATCTCTAAAAGAATAGAAATAGACAATGATAAAGTAAGCATGAAGACAAAATAAAAAATTTTTGAAGTCTCAAACTGAGGTCAATCTGAAGTCATTAAGAGCAGGAGGGATGGAAACAGAAAAAAAGTAGTGATGAAAGGGAAGTTCATTTTGGTTGATATAAAATGAAAGTTGAAGTTCCTGTACTGTTTTTCTATAATTTTCATCCATGTCTACTAAAACAGTTTTCTAAAGCTTTGGTTTTGCTTAAAGGAAAACTATGAACTGGCAAACAATTCAACTCAATAGCTTTAAATAGTACATGTGAGTAGAGTAGTCAACTAGAGTTTCCTAAAACAGAAAAAAATCAAATAGTATATTGATTACTTTGACAATCATTTGGGGTATTTACATACATACCACGCAATTCTTATGTATTTAGATATATTAAACCCAAATCTTCCATATCACAAAAAATACCACTATTACAACTTTTAAAAAAGTGAAACACACGTATTCATGCATTGATAAGGTGGATACAAGTAACAATTAAAGTTTAGTTGTTAGATATGTAAATACATAAGAATTCAGTGGTATTTATGTAAATATTCCTAATCTTTATACCAAAAAATGTTGTATGCATGCATGACTTCTGATATTATAATCAGCTTAACAGTACATCTTGTTTTTCTCTTGGTTCTTTTTAGATCTCGAAATCGTCAGCTTGTCTTTTTGTATGTCATCGTATAATTTCCCTATTCGAGTAAATCTCCCTCCCGAACTAAATGAATGACTCGAAGATGAGAGGAATCAAATAGCGAACTAACATATGACAACAAATAGGCAAACAAATCAAAAAAGAAAAGAGATGGAAGACTGATATAGGGATAATTCTCGTGTGATGAATCAGTGTGATGAGTCAAGAGTATACATCCAAACAGAATCGGATTGAAGTACCTCGGAAAAACAACATCCACGAGCAAAATCTCTACATAAGCTACCCGTAACCAGAGAACCAAAAAGGAACATTTTTTGTTCTGGGGTCAAAAGTCTCCAGAGGAACATATTCCTTCTGGTTAATTATATCTCGGGGGATACCCAGAAAGACTCTCGATGGAAGGAGTTTCTTTTCTCTTTATCATTATGAACCTGGGATATAGGTTATCAAAAGGTGATTATTTCGTATGGAACCGTCTTGATGTTTTGAAGCTCACGCTGCACAATCGGGCGAAGAGTGAATCTCCCATGTCCAAATGGGTAGCGGCTTCTCAAGTCACGAAACCTACAAAATAACCATAATTCACTTCAACGGGGGTATCCCAATACGTCATAACACATCCGGACCGTAAGGGCAGAGGACAAATCGTCGTATCCCGAAAATCGTCGTTTCCCGAACAGGCGGCAGCTTATCGGCATCGGGCCGTCAAAGTGACATCAACAAAAAGCAGAAGTGGCTCAACAGGGGTAGTCGAAAAGGTAGGGAAGAGTAATCCTAGGAGGTAGAGGTAGTCAGATCAGGGTACCGCGGACTCGTCATCCCAAGCCACTAGGACCCTAAGTCTACCTAGTCGACCCAACACAACTTGAGATCCCTGGTCAGCAATCCGTGAATTGTGTCATCCACAGTGATCTCGGTAGCCCTAAGGTCAAAGAAACGAAACTCTATCCTATAACTAAAATCTGAAGCTCAAAGAGGTGAGACTTATACCTGTCGAAATGGTGAGGGCCTCAGGAAAGAAGAGAAAGCGGAGGTTCAGCTACAAAGCTCTAAACACTCCAACAAAAGGACTTACACCCCGCCTGGGTCGAGGAGCCTTCTAACACCTTAGGCCCACTAGACAACCACCTATATGAAGATATGATGGGCCAGTTAGGTTGGAAAAATACAGGGACTCTTTCTCGGGACATGCAAACATGAATGCAGTTATCTAGAGTGATCCTAAGTATTGTGGAGGTCCTATTAATATATACAAGAAAGTAAATATTGCAATTTTTAAATCATGAATATTTTAATCATAAATATTAATTATCTTGAATATTTTATTTAGGATTTTGCATAAAATTAGGAATTTAAGTCCTAAAGAGCCTATGTTATATCGTGAGATCCCAGATAAAACACAGAAAAAAAACAAGGAAAAACACATGCACGTGTAGACATACGACATAATGTAAAGAAAGCAAAACAAGTCAAATCAAAATAATAAACAGACCGGTGTCGCTGGGTCGGCAACATATCTCAGAAAAGAAAAAGGCGATCGAACTCCGCATATACATGTCCGGTCCTAATTCTATACATCAATATAAAATGCAAAATTAAGATACGAGGCACGAGCATCTGCTCCTGGTCCCCTCCACGTGGTTCGCACGCTAATATCTCGGAACCCGTGCCCATATATTATTTCTGCTACAGAACTTCTAGACTCTAAAAAGTACATAAAAAAAGAAAAACTCAATAATGCATAAAAACAAATGTCAACGAAAAAGCTCACATGCAAATAACGTATCATGAAGTCGTGTCTTAAAAGTGGCTTATAACACCTGCAAACAAAAGGGTAAGAAATCATTATTTGCCCCCCCATAGCGGTACATGTATGTGTATATAAATAGGCATGTCTCCCTGCAGAATAACGCCCTAACACACTGCCATACATATGCAGCATGCAGTCACACCAGAAGTACAATGTAAAAGAAAGATGTCTGGCTAGGGCAACCAATCCAGCAGAGAACAATAGTCAGACATAAAAAAAGACTACCTAACACCCTAAATCTTAACCTAGCACACCATCTAACGAAAAGTGCAACAACCTAATATCTAAGTGAGGGGAAGTCTGGATATAGTATGACTTTGACGGGGTCACTTTACTGACACCATTTTAAGGATTCAAAGAATCTAAAGAGTGTCACGAAAATGGATGACACCAGTTAGATTCATTGGATTCTTAGCACAGTCATACTCATGTCAGTCCCGATGACTTAACTCGCATTGTTCATCGGGATTCACCAAACGAGCAATGCTCGTTAAGGCATCGCGACCAACACGGGAGTCACTCTCCTAACGGGTCTGACCCATTATACATGCAAACATGCAAATACAAATGCAGATGATTAATCAAGACATAGGTAATGAGTATACCATAGGGCAGAGATTCAAACAAAGGTGGGCATACCATAGTGGCAGTGACCGTAAAAGGTATGTCGAAGAGGCAGTGACCCCAAGAAAATGAGCATATCGTAGTGAAAGCGGCTCTAAGAGGTGTATCAGTAGGGCAGTAACCTGACGGAATGGGCATGTCATAGCGTCAAATGCCCGAAAAAGATGGACATGCCTTGATAGCAGCGGTCCCAGAAGGTACGCCGATAGGGCAGTAACCTATAAAGAGTAGGCATGCTGTGACAACAGAGGCCCTAGAAAGATGGGCATGCTATAGTGGCAGTGGCCCCAAGAAATGTGCAAGTCAGGCACATGATCATAATCATGCAGACATACAGATGCAAAATGGGATGCAATAATGTATTCATGCATATGCGCTACAATATGCAAAAATGCAAACACACATGCAAGACAATATGATGATGCAAGTAGTTGGTCGACTGGGTCAAGAAATCCGGTCAAACCAAAGTGTCGTATTAATCGACTCAAGGAAGCCGATTAAAATGAAGTAAAATGCTCGTCGGGTCGGGACGGTCGGACGAGGTGAAGTGAAATGCTCGCACGACAGGGGCGGCCGATCGGAGCGAAGTGAAATGCTCGCCAGGCCGGGACGGTCGGACGAGGTGAGGTGAAATGCTCGCCGGGTCGAGGCGGTCGGTCAGAGAGAAGTAAAATGCTCGTCGGGTCGGGGAGGCAGGACGAGGTGAAGTGAAATGCTCGTCGGGTCGAGACGACTAGACAGAGCGAAGTGAAATGTTCGTCTGGCCGGGACGACCGATCGGAGCGAAGTGAAATGCTTGTCGGGCCGGGACTGCCGGGGCGAGGTGAAGTGAAATGCTCGTCGGGCCTGGGCGGCCGATCAGAGCGAAGTGAAATGCTCGTCGTGCCAGGACGATCGATCGGAACAAAGTAAAATGCTCGTCGGGCTAGGGCGGCAGGACGAGGTGAAGAGAAATGCTCGTCAGCCCGGGACGACTAAGCGGAGCGAAGCAAAATGCTCGTCCGGTCGGGGCGGCCGATCGAAGTGAAATGAAATGCTCGTTGGGCCGAGACAGCTAGACGGAGCGAAGTGAAATGACATGCTATGTGACATACAAAATGCAACATGCAAACATATACATGTGATATGGAGTCATTCCCGTGCCAGCGTTCTCACCGGGGAACCTAGGGTCAATATATAAAAAGATGGCGATTGTTTTGGCGAGGCAAGTGGGGAACTTCTCCTTGGATCCCCAAAGGGGGAATTTCTCTATCTCGTCATGAAACGGGCTAACGGCAATGCTCTACCCGATTTCACGACGTCTCCGAGCTTTGCAAAATGAGCTAATGATTCTCATTTTCTCATTTTACAAATGTCAACTTTTCGATCTTTCTAAAAGATCGAGACAACCAAAACAAAAAGGAGCGAAGGGAGCTCCAACCTCTAGGATTTTTGTGCTAGGGCTAACAGTCAAATATGATTCACTCGACTATCGTATGAAAATTAGTTGCGCATGAAGACTATCCTATAAGCCACCTCTAGAAAAATAATCGATCCATCATATAGGCATGCCGCCGTGCCGGCGCACACACCCCGTGTAGGTGATCTAACCCACACGCCTATCACATCTACAACCTAAGACCGGCTAGGAAATAAAATGCGAAGGGGAAGAAAGGTTATACCGTCGCGTGGTTTGCACGAATCATAAATAAGTCCGGCCGGAACTTGCACGTAAAATGGGAGCCCTTCGTACCCTCTCGAAAGATATTGACGTTCGTTGTCCGGATATTGACGTTCGTGACGTTCGTTGTCCGGCGAGGTGACGGATGTTAATTTATCGGCGGTGAATACCGAAAGTGAAGAAGATGCAGGAGAAAGCCCCAAAAAAAATTGAAGCCTTTCTTCATCGTTTTACTCCGGCGAAAAACACAGCGCCGACAATGCAAATGCCAGTGAGATAAAGGAAATCCGGTAAAAAATACAGCACCGACAAGGTAAATGCCAGCGAGATGAAGAAAATCCGGCGAGGTTGGTGGGGTTGGCGGAGAAGAAGAAGAAGAGAAGAAAATCCGGCGAAAAAAAAGAAGAAAAGGAAGAAGAAGAAGAAGAAAAAAAAAAGAAGAAAAGGAAGAAGAAGAAGAAGAAGAGGAAGAGGAAGATGAAGCCGAAGAAGGAGAAGCCGGCGAGGTTGGCCGAGGAGGAGAATCGACGACGGAGGAAGAAGGATTGGGAGGAGTTCTTCTCTGTCGCGAATGGGGAGGGGTGAATCGAGCCTGCGATTTCGGAGGAGGCGAATGAGGAGAAGGATCCGGAGGAGAGTGGGTTGGGAGGAGAGGATTTTCGCGAATTGGCAGGGAGGAGGATCGGCGGCGAACGGCGCCGGCGATGGAGGCAGGAGGATCGGGAGGAGAGAGGGCCGAGCGGTTCTCTCTGTCGCGAAAATGGGAGCCGTCTTCCCTAGGGAGTTTTCGCGAATCGGGAGATAGAGGAGAGAGGAGGCACGTCTGGTGAGATAAAAAAATAGGACTTTTTTTCATTTTTTTTTTTATTCTCCTCTCTTTCTATTTTGGAAATTAATGCGAACACATCTTTAACTTAACCTATTAGGATTTCCTGTCTCATAACAAGCAAATCAAATAAAAGTTGATTGGAAAATATGCCAAATAATCAAATCATATAAAAGTTGATTGGAAAATATGCCAAATAAAAGTTGGTGCTTGGAAATAATGCAAACCTGTTGGATTGGTGGAAACATTGAATCTCTGCAAATTGGACACTCCAATAGATCATCTATGCCATTTTTATGAAGTAGAAGGGTCCTTTTGGGCTGCGCTGCATTAGATTCCAAATTAACCTCACCAGAGGCTACTGATGAGCAGCTAGGCTCCATAGGTACAGAAGGAGAACATGATTCATCCAATTTCTTGGACTGTATAGCAGATGATGACCCCGTGATTGCCTGCTTCTTTCCCAGCTTAAGATAGGTCATATTTCACAAGAGTGAGATCACAACCACTGTATCAAAAAAACCCAACTGAAGTTATACTACAATGAAAGGGTGAAGACCCTGAAATTCTGTGCAGAGATTATGACCGATAAGAGTGATATCCTTACAGATCGACACAACAAAAAATTGAAAAATCAATGCAACTTGTGCTTATAAGAAATTAGAAGGAAACAACTGAGTGCTAACAAGAAAATTGAACCAAAATTCAAAAGTGTGAAGTAATATGCAGATAATCTAAAACAAAAAAAAAAAAAAAAACATGAGTTGAATTTGGATTTGTAATGTTAATTGAATAGTATATCTAACCGCTCCCAACAACAGATATTTAAAAATGCAATTTTGTTTGCCATAAAACATGTAGAAAGCCAACCCTGACGCGAAAGGTTTAAAGAGAAACACAACAAAAAATTCAGTATGTTAAATAATTTTAGAATTGTCTACTGAAAAAAACAGCTGCGTAAGATTCCATCAATTGGACAACGGAACATAAATTAACTTTATATAGGAGCTGTTTGATTACTTGTATTAGCAGGGCAACGCAAAAACAAATGCAAAGGTTTTCAAATCCTTGGTGTTTCATACACGGTAAAATTTTGGTGCATCTCAAAACTCGTGATTCAATTCAATTTGAGTGAATTCAAAGCTTGGCTAAATTTGAGACTGCACCAGCAACAACAGCATCGTGTGCCGCCCGTCAGCCGCTATCATCTCCACTGAAATTGCTACCGCACAGCCAAAACCGCTAGTCACGGCTAGGCTAAATTTGACACTGCACCGGCAACAACAGCATCGTGTGCCGCCCGTCAGCCGCTATCATCTCCACTACAATTGCTACCGCACAGCCAAAACCCCTAGTCACGGCTAGCAGTCACATAATAACACCGTCATTGTAGGTGGCTGCCAATCACTATCTTTATCAGCCGCCATTGCCGTCGAGCTTTACATTGAATTAATTTTTCTTTAAAATAAAAATCTCTTGTATTTATTTAACATCTAACAAAACAACCCTTCCACATTGCAAACACATTATATTTCAAGTATATTGCTTCCATTTTAATATGCATTCTATTTTAGGCAAACCAAACAACCCCATAAATTCAACATTTATAAGGAAAGTCAGGAAATATGTATTTAGATTTAGAAGGCCAGGCATGACATTGTATATGCTAATAATTTTTCATTTTTACTGCCAATACTTCAAAATAAACATCTGATATCATAAACATACTGTGAAGGCATATTACCAAAAAAATAATATATATTAGAAAATACCTTTCATTGTAGCATATCAATTGTGACAAGTGATAAAAGAGGCCATCAGGAAAAATAATTTAACAACATGCAACTAAAAAAAATCAAAGTACCAAATAATCCAGGATTACAGGGGATTTGGATTTAATATGGTCCATAATGTGCACTTCATGGTCAATTTAGCCCAAATATCCCATATTGCATCTTTAGGACCGCATAGCATATTGCATCTTTAGGACCGCATAGCATAGCCATATGCGAGAAACAACAACAAATAGATACCTAATGCCGAGAATCTTTACAAAAAATATAAAAATAAAAAAAAGACAGATCAGGCATGGCATCGCATTAGAAGAAATATAAAATCAAGAAGCCCAACCAGAACTTGAAGCAGTGACAAATGCACCGTGGAATTAAATTTAATTTTAGAGTAACTGGGTTGAAGTTGGATCAATAAAGAAAATTTGAGTTAAAATTCTGAGCAATGTTAAACATAAGCACGCATATGTATGTGGGTGAAACTAATATAGATATATATATTCATTATTTCATAAAACAATCATTATTAATCTCGACTGTTTGAGTAAAAAATGAGTAAAAATTGGATCGATTAAGAAAAAATGAGTAAAAATTTAGGTTAAGGATCAATCAAGAAAAAATGAGTAAAAATTCTAGAGCCTGTTTTAGAAAGAAGAACTGGCAATAACTACTGATCTTCGTAGATGCCAACCACTATCGACCACCGGCAACCACCGGCCGCCGCTGCCAACCATGGCCTGCCTCTCCCGACCACCAATCCCGACGACCCCTGCGTGCAACTGTTGTAGTCCAAATACGTTTGTTGTGTTTAACACCTATGTTTTTTTTGTGTTGTTGTATAAAAACAAGTGTAATTTTTAATGTATGTTTGTTACCTCATTCTTCCTATTGTGGGAGAAGAGCGCACCCTTGTACTTACAAATACAAAGTGAATTTCTTTGGCTAGGCTAGGCTGCATGGTTTTTTTATTTTTTTTCATAATTTTTTTCACATAAAAAATCTTGGTGTTTACTCTTGGTAATTCTATTTTATCTATGTTTGCACTGGATCTTCGTACAACGCCAAGACATTAAGAGTTTATTTGAGGGACCTTCACCGTTCGACGAAGCTCCTTCAAAAGTCGTTTTCGAGGATGAAGCCGACCCTATGCGGTCCACAACGCACATATTTCGTTGTTTTGCTGAAGTAATGTCGGGAAACGCGGGGGAGACAAGGATTTACTAAATGAAAATTTTTTAGGCGTCGGCGTTGCACTGAACAAAACAGAGCTTCACCGATAGGTCAAATGAAGCCTAATATAGTATTCTACCGTTGCGAATTTTCCGGCAATAGAAAAACATTTGCTAGATCAACTAGCAACTCCGCAAAAAAATGCAAAGCAATGTTTAAAAACTTCAACTTGATTTCATAAATCACAATAAAGTACACAATAGCTAATTAGGGAATTCGATGTAATTGGAGCTAAGAAAAGAATTTGCATCTTGTGAACTATATTTGTTGGATGGCTCCTCAGGAATGGTAAAAGTGCAGTGCCTAAAAGTGAAAAGCATGATGAAATATGCCATCGCAATGCCGCTTGATATAGACTTAAAGACACAGCTCACAAACAGCAAGTAGACACAATCTTCTTTCATAAAGATCATAGAGAAGAGCTCAGCAATGGATCCACCATTTGTTTTAAGTTCAGATTCACACATATAAAGTACGATTTATTGAATATATTACAATACTCAGTGTCGTGCCTTAAAAAAATTGGAAGATTTACATACATACCATTAAATTCCTATGTATTTACATATCTAACACGTACACTTTAATTTTTAAATAAATGACATCTTAGCTATGCATAAAATGGAGTATTTTACATTTTGAAAGTTAAAATTGCAGAATTTTTTATATGATATGAAAGATTTGGGTGTTGTAAACGTAAGAGTAATGATTAGGTGTTGGACAAGTAAATACACAGAAATTAGCGCCGTATTTATGTAAATGCCCCTAAACAATTTTCAACTGCATGTTAGCATGGATAAGGGGTTGCCCCTAGGGCTGTAAATTGTTGTTGTTGCGAGATTTATAGATATATACACCAGTTGTTGTGGTATATATATAAATCAAACAGGAGAACGATCGACGAAGCGAAAAATAGAACGAGAAAAATCACACAAAAAAAGAACACACAGATTTACGTGGTTCGACAAATTGTCTAAGTCCACGAAGTTGCAGAGGATTTTACTACTTGAGAAATTTACACCAGTCGATCATATCGACTTACAAGAGGAATCTCTCACTTCGTTGTTCTTTCTTCTTCTCTGTTCTTCTCTCTTTACATCGAGATACATCAAAGAAATTCTACACTGAGATACACCGAAGAAGATAAAATTACAAGAGAAATAAACTCAATTTCTTTTCTGTCACAAACCACCAAGAAAAAGCCTAGAGAGAACAATCTTCTTTTTCTTACTTCTGCCGCAAGGAACTACCGCTTGCACTTCTCTTCCTCTGCCCCAAGGAAACCTTCATCTCTCATGAGGAAATCGAATAAGAACTCAAACCGTGACTTCTAAAACTGAAAGAAAGCCGTCCGAAGCCTTTTATCATGAACATGAGAAAGCGAAGGATGCTACGCTTCACAACATAGGAAGGCGGAAGCGGTTGGCGCGCGACTGAAGAGGCGGGAGGCGCGAACGAGCGCTAGGGGACC